TATGAACTTGTGAAAGCAGTCCATGGAAAGCTAAGAGACATGACTACTTGATTATGAACTTATATTTAATTTTGACAAGTTTAAGTGGGGCTAAGGAAGTCTTGAACAGACTGCATTATTTTGTTAGAAACAAAAAGGCTTTGTTTAGTCAAAAAAACGACTTCAGTTTTATGTAAAACAACTTTGGAAATCAGAAAACAACATGATTTTACTTAAAAAATCACATTTTAAATAGTTTTGTTGAAAGAAAACATCATATTTTCTGATATCATAATTTATGCATCATTTTTCTGCATGAGAAATCAAATTTCAGAATTCAAGTTTCCTATTTGTTCAAATATAGATTTTTAATTAAGTTGAGTTCTTTCCAAGCAAGAGGCAAACATATTTTCTAGAAATTAGAATTCTAAACATTTATATTTTTTGTGTATAAATAATTTCAGAAATTTCACCATCCAAAGTGGAATGATTTCCAAAGTAAACTCTATGGATGCTAACTTCATTAAGTGATGGATTGACATGGGTGTTACACACCATGTGTGCTCAAAGAGGGAGTACCTCAAGAATTATAAGGTTGTCCAAGGTGAGACAGAAATTTATTCTTGAAAGTGTAATGACCAAAATTTCAACAAAATTTAAACTTTTCAAAAACATGCCAATTCATTAAGTATTTACAAAAAGGTTTTCAATACATTTATTATCAGAGCATTCCCAGGTCCATATCATAAAACATAAACGCAAGGAGCGGTACGATCACGCCTTTGCCTTGCCACAGTCTCCTGAAGAACCTGAAAAATATTAAACCACAACTGTAAGCCCGAAAGCTTAGTGAGATACCCCCAAAATGACAACCACATATACCATACACATAACATGCTATATCATAACAAATCGTAGAACAACCATGTATATCGGGTCTACTGTGGGATTGGTCTGCCGTGTCGGGCCTTCAGTCCACCTGGTCCACCCTCCGAGTCCAGTCATGTCCCTCGAGTCTGCAGTGTGGTTGGTCCGCCCGCACCGGGACTTCAACCCACCTGGCCCACTCTCTGAGTCTACAGTATGACTGGTCCGCCCGCATTGGGCCTTCAGTCGGCCTGGTCCACTCTCCGAGCCTCGGCACGTTTGGTCCGCCCTCGTGGGGCCTACAGCTTATCCGGACCGCTCGCTGGGCCTTCGGAACAACCGGTCCGCCCTAGGTATCTTGGCCTACAACACAAAGCAGGACCCGCCTCAACCCAACTCCAGTCCAGACATCCATGTGCACATAACATACAATCTCATAACAGTTCATAGTCCACAAACCGATCAAACAGATCACACAACATATGATTACCCTAACCAGGATACCGACCTAACCGGTCACTAGCATAGCATCACTCCACATATCGGGAAATCAACCTTAACCAGGTCTCTAGCATATACCATCCTAGCTACCAAGATGCAGGCATATCAAAGCAATAACATAACAACCATATCCGAATCTCAATCCAATAAAGGGCCGGCCCTGGTGCCTTAGACCCTATCGATATAGTGAGGATAACTCACCTTGCAACTGCTGACTGAACGGACAAGATCACGCTGCTGCAACCTCCGACCCGAACTCCAACACTGTTAATACCCAAAAGACTGAATCCCATAAATACCAATAATTTCCAAATTATCCCTGGAAGTCAATTGGTCAACCCTTGGTCAAAGTCAAAGTCAAAGTATACCCCTGACTGACTCTACTCGCCGAGTCAACCCGATAACTCGCCGAGTCCCCATACACAGAACCTCCTCCAATTTGCGACTTAACTCGCCGAGTCATCCCTTGACTCACCGAGTCACAACCTTCCTAAAAGAATCTTGGACCCTACGACCAGACTCGCCGAGTCCAAGAACAGACTCATCGAGTCTACGACTATCTTCAACCTACTCGCCGAGTTGTTCTTCCAACTCGCCGAGTTCGAAGCCGTCTTCATCTAACTTGCCGAGTCCACCCATGTGACTCGCCGAGTACCACCGGGTCTGAATCCATACAGAGGCTTTCCAAGCCATGCAGATGATCCAAACCATAGATCTACCCCTCCTAAGGCCATCCATCACGTAAAGTGGAAAACTTTACGTGAATCCAAAGAGATCTAGGCATTTTACCCTCTATGGCTAGGGTTTGGGATATGATGGCTTCACCAATCACTCAAGAATAGGGACTTTAATGCATTTAAGACCTTCTCCACTCCAGATCTAAGGTAGCAACCTCATATCTATTCTTCAAACTCAAGATACCATAAGCTAAGCCTCCTATATATTCCAAGAATCATGAATCTAGAAGAATAACAGCCCAAGAACGAGATTATACCTCAAAAGGAAGCCCCAACAGCAATGAAATCTGAATCCAAGAAATGCCCCTTGCTCCAAGCCTCCTAACTCCCCAAGATCTTCCTTCAAATCTCTTTTCCAAGGTTCAAATACACTCCAATCCTTCACACTCATGTTTTCCAGGGTTTTCTGGTCTCAAGGGAAGGTAAGGAGACTAGGAAGAAGGCATAATGTCCTTTATATAGGGCTCGTCCTCCGAAATTAGGGTTTTCTCCACTCAGCACCAACTCGCTGAGTCCAGCCCTGGACTCGCAGAGTAGGCCACTTAACACGCGACCAAAATCACGATCATACTCACCGAGTCCACCCATGGACTCGCCGAGTTGCCCTTCAAAATTACACTTTTAGCCTTTCAATTCTACGCTTGATATTCGGGGATGTTACAGAAAGTAAGATTCTAAACACTTAAATTTGGTGTTTAGAATATTCAAGAAATGGTATCACATAGAAAAGAGCTAACACTTAATGATGTGTTGTATGTTCCATTGATTAGGAAGAACTTGTTCGATTTTCTATGCATCAAATACACTATAAAACTAGGCAGTGGAAAAACTGAAACAACGATATACCTAAGTGTACATGCATCCTATGGATCTATGGCTTCATGCTAATTACATCAACCCTAGAAAACTAAAACATAAGTAAGAAAACATACCTCTTATGTAGCCCTTGATCTCCATTCTTGAGATCTTGAACCTCCATGAAGTTGCTTGGATGAAAGGATCCAAACCAGAATCCATTTAATGGTATCACACCGAATGACACCAAAGAGTGGAATAAAAATAACTAGGAGAAGGGTCAATTTCACAAACCCAAAGGGGTTAGAAATCGTCCCTAAGTGTGGGGAGGAAGAAGGATTGGCGAATACTTCAAGCCAAGGTGCAAGGAGGAATGAAATCCCTAAGGCCCTATTTATAGCCTTGGATGCCTCCTAGGGTTTAGTACTCCTTCCCATGTGGGATGGAGGCCTAACCACGAAATTTCACTCCTTTCCCATGTGGGATGGAGTGATTTTCATCCAACCCTAATTCCATAAGGTTCTGTAACATTTCTGATTAACCAACTATCGATTAATGAAAATTCAACCCTTTAATTAATTAAATGGTTAATTAATTCCCAAAATATATTTCCAATTAGTTTCTAATTAATTTTTCACCATAATAATTAATAAACTAATTTCTCCTTTATTTATTCTACTCAATTTGGGTCTTGAGGGCAACCCAAAAGGACCATGCTATTGTTAGAAATATTACCAATAGTTAATGACCTTGGACACTATTCCAACAGTCTCCCACTTGGACAAGTCATCAACTATACGAGGACTAATATTTCTCCAATAATCAACAAAGAATTACATATCCAATGCAAATACCGAACTCTTGATCTAATCAAGATTCAACCCTTAAATAAGTGATCAACTATCCCTTCGTTGTATGATATCTGTATGAATTCGAGACATGGATAATGGTCAATCTCAAGAATTCAAGATTATGTTTCCCGATATAGATTTGTGACGACTGCATTTGACTATTAAATTGAACACATCAATTCTAGTTAGGGCTCGACCAAACACTATAGACGTAAACACCAAATCATCGAGGGGCCCTTAGATATCGCTTCTCCCATTATAGCAGAAGGAACGAATAAACTTTGACTATATAGTTTTTATCTATTTCATCATGTCACACATGACATACCCTTTATAACTACCGGTTACGGTTACCGTTGGAGTAGTCAAATGCATAACAGAATCATAGAGCAAATCCCCATATGTATCTAGGTTTGAAGAATCGAAGATATTACCATCTTAGAATTACTCGTGACTGAATCCATGAAGTAATCTCTAAGCGTGGGTTAGTCGAATAATTAAATCTCTATTACGCACTCATGAGTGTTAGCGCCATCTCTTTGCTATGTCCACTACTAGAAAAACAGCCTTTTACAACGCTCATTGCGCGTCGTAAAAGGCTCAAACGACGCGCAAATGCGCGTCAAGGAAGGCCCTGTCATAAAGAGAGACGACGTGCTTTTGCGTGTCGTCTATAGACGACGCGCATTTACAACGCTCATTTACGACGCGCAATTACGACGCGCATTTACGACACACAATGTGTATCAAGGAAGGCCCTGTCATAAAGGAAGATGACAAGCATTCGCGTGTCGTAACCGTATGACGCGCGTGTTAATGACACGCAACGCGTATCAAGAAAACCCCTGTCAAGAAAGGCAATGTCATAAATGATGATGACACAGATTTTTGCGTATCATAATTTTAAATGTTTAAAAAAATATATTTATAGATTTACTTATTTTCAAATTAAATTTGTATTTAATGTTTCATAATAGAAAATAAAATATCATATACAAAAAATAGAATCCATTGCATAAATTTAATGTCATACAATTCTATTTCTTACAATATATAAATTTTCATCTAATCTACTATGTACATCAAATTCCAACCAAGTAAAGTTGCATCTCGCCTTTCATAATTCTTTAAGACTAATGTTCCAAAAAGCGTACATTGGCCCATCTCACTCAATATATGATACCTCGAGTTGTGGTAGAGTACATGCTTCTCCATCAACAAGCATGTGATAATTACCAATGATTCAGGGGTATTGTGATTTCTCATTAGCTTAACAATCCTCTTTAGCAAACCATGGTTGCAATTCTCTCTCAGCCTAACAACCAAAACAACAACATCGATTCAATATTTTTTAATATGGTAACAAGAAGAAATGTTAGGATGCTTTTTTGAAAAAAAAAGTCATTAATCTCGAGTTCTATAGATATATAAAATAGTGAAAATGAAAAAGTCATGTAACTTACATCATCCTCATTGGCAGAGAAACTCCTTTGATGAGTTAACCTAGGAATTGTGTTTTTTTGAAGAAACAAGTATTAGTTTTGTGAGCCTTTAAATTCTACTCATTAAAGTTGTTTTATTTTTTTAATAAACACAAAGCATAAATAATTAAAAAAATAAAACAATACCTTCTATTTAACTTATTTTAATACAAGGGTATTTTGGTCCTTTATAAAAAATAAAAAAACTCCACCTTCCCATATGAATTGTGAAATTCATCAATTGTGAAGGATTCTAAATTAGATTTTGTCCATTTGCAACCAACCATATCATGGAATGGAATCATGCATTCCAATTGTATGGATTATATTGGAATCCAGAAAGTGGAAAAGGAATTGTCGTTGAACTCACAGAGTTAGGATCAAAATTCTTTTTGGGAGCATCGACCATAAGCTTGCATTCCTCTAAGTGTTTATCAGGTTCTTTACTAAACTAGATTTCAAACATTTACAACATTTAATAGCGTTATTAATCATTTAAAAAATGGAGCTTCATTATAAAAAAATAAACATGTTCTAGAACTAAATAAGATACTAAATGGAGACTCACAGTTAGTAACGTTCGTTCATCCAGATGTGTCCACACCTATAACCAAACATAGAATGTGGCATACAGGATTGCAACACCAATAACAGCCATACCAACCACCATCAAGGCAAAGAAACCACCATCATAAAATGCTATCTAAACAAAAAAATCTGCCAGCTTAGCAAGATGCCTAGAAAACAGCAGACCTGATAAGACACCACTAATCACAGTAAGCCAATGATGATAGTCCATTAGTTATTGTTACACTTCTTCCTAAAAGTCTTCATTGGTTATTGTTGCACTTCAAGTTTATTATGAAGAGACTTAATGCAAAAAGAATCTACAACTAATTTGGGAAATTAGAAAAAGAAAAAGAAAAAGGGAACTAGAACTTGCCTGAACTCAACACCTAATCTTTGGGGTTTCACTTTCCAATGTAGAAGCTTTCCTTGAACTTTCCCCTACACATTTAAGCCAGTAACAGAATATCAAATCATTATCGATAGTTTCATGTACTTTCACAGAACTATAACACTAAAGAAATATATTAGTTTAAGTAGTAGCTGAGATATACATTGAGATGCTTTCATTTCTGTATCTGCAAGAACTACCTCCTGAAAAGGAATTCTTAAACGAAATCATTATATTTAAAGTTATTTATTAGTTTAAGTAGTAGCTGAGTTATATATTGTATCAATATAATGATATGCTTTCATTTTCATGTATAGATTTCTATATATCTTCTGACTAGTTCTTAACTTGCAACTAATTTTTTGATTAAAATAATCTAACTGTCAAATTAGCATAATTACACGAAGGTTCGATGAATCTATGATGAAATATTACTTAATTAATTTTCCAACAAGACAGATTGACTCTTTGTGATATAAAAAAATCACTGATAAATTTAGAAACAAGTATTCAACAGTTATTAGTCCAAATATTTAAGATGTGTGTACTTTTGTATAAACTATTTATTTCTTTTATCAGTGCTTGAATCGCCAAGAAATTGCAGAATTGTTTTGACAACTTAAAAAAAAAAACTTATATACTGTTGTGAACCACTTTCAGTTGGTACAGGTACAGAGACCTTAGGTGGAGGATGCTCACTTGCTTCATCGTGATCATGAAATGGGTTGAGAAATGGATATAATGCCATCACTCGATAAAGTAAGATTGTATATATATTATATATATATATATTATATATATATATATATATTATATATATATTATATATAATATATATATATATATATATATATATATATATATATATATATATATATATATATATATATATATATATATATAAAGCATTATCAGAACTCGGCAAAATGTTTGATATGGTCGAACAACCTTCTTTCTTAATACTTTTTTTTTTCTGTGGTTATTGGTCAACAAGTTGAGAAGACAAGTCAAAGCTATGACTTCAGTTTTACCCATCTTCACTCTCGCTGAACCATTTTCCTGTCATTAATTAAGCTCATTAAGAGCATAAACTAAGTGTTTTTATTAAATAAAAAAGAATTTGAAAAGGTTTTTACCTGAGTAATGACTCCAGTTTCAATAGATATGGGGCAATAAGTTAATCTTTTACACCCATCTGTAGGAAGGCCTTGAGCAATTCCTCCCTATATAAAATTCTTTTCTCCAACAATTCATATTTAAATATCGTTTAGGAATATAACTAACTTTAGACACATAAGGCTTGGGAACAAATGTTTTTAAGAACAATTTGAAGAAAAGATACTAACCTTTCAAGGAAATTGTTGATCAGTGAAAAAATATGGAGCAAATAGACTGCTTGAAGAGTACCCTGGTGCTGATTCTTGGCTACAATATAAACAATAATAATATTACTAGATGTTTCTGTTAATGTCAAAACAGATGCAAGACCAACTCTCAGGATAGGAACAACCTGGAAACAAAGAAGGGCTTATTAGTTAACTAAAATTCACAATTAAAGACGACTTTTACCATTATAGTAAACCCAAAATAAGTCTTTTTTTCCCAAAAGAGTAAACCCAAAATAAATCTTTATTCTAAACCAAAATGTATACATATAACTTTCTATCAACATAGGTTTCATCCAAATCAAAATCCAAGCATTAGAACATTAAATATATAAATTATACTTGACTGTTAAGAGAAAAAAAGATAGAAAACCTGGTGATTTGGAAGGTAGATTGAATTTGTACATACATGGTATTCAAGAACTTCATGGAAACATGAAAAACATAATCAAAATGATAAAAACATACATTTGATAGCTTATATGTAGCCAATTATACTTGCCTGTAAGAGTGAGCGTGCATATTTTAGAGATGGGGGAACAGTGGCCCAGGCGACATCCAACACTGGTAGGTTGCCATTTTTTATGTGAAGTATTGATGTTGTTACAACTGCAAATGAATGAACAACATGAGAATAGGACACATCACCACCTCTGACATTATACAACCAAACAACTTGTTGTAAACACACAATCATGATGAAATTGTTATATATTCCTCTTAAAGGAGTGGCTTCAAAGTTCGAAGTGTTTTCAGACCAGATTAATCTCATAAACAACCATCTTAAAACAAAAACATCTAACATGAGGATAAGCAAGTCTTCTTTTACCAAAACAAGAGAGACCTTAGAGTACAGTCAACTCAAGTACCTCATTTATTCCAGCTTCAATACAAAGTCAAAACAACCAGAAAGGGTAGAACTTACAATGTCAAACACTCGGTTTGGATCCAAATTTAAGTGCCCGATTAACGACTGCAAAGAATCATTAGTGAAAAGCAACAACAACTGAACAAGTAATGGACAAAGTAGGAGGTCAGAATATTTTTTAGAAGATGTCAAACCTTGATTATGCCAACCATCGCTGCTGATGTATTTTCAGAACAAATTTCATTTTGTTTCCTTTTCTCATAACATCAATCACATACTGCATGTGTATAAACAACTTTCAAAAGCTAATTAATAATATATATAGAAAGATATTAGATAGTACACACACAATGTCATATGAAAAGGAACTACTTGCCTTAGCATTCAAATTGAAAAGGAAAGATGAGTTTGTACAATCATATAAACTCCCTCAGACATCTGCTTCTAGATGCGATATCAGTTCACCCGTATACTCTCCAAGATGCTCATCTTTGCAGACAGAGGTCTAGGGATATGAAAATTTCAAACAATTCATTAAATTTGTTATGGGTGCCACCAAATATTTCTAAACATGCTATTTAGTTCAGTCCAAAGTGTCCTATCCTTGTAACAAACATAGCCTGTAGGTTGTAGCTGTAGGTCATCAATTATAAGTGAATTGTGGCGCTCAAGTGGTTCAAAGCTACATCATTTTATTCGTTCAAATGGTTCAAAGCTTTTATGATCTATAAATAATTATGGTTCTCACATTCATGTATTTAAAACAAAAGATCAACTTTAAACAAAAACTGAAAAAAAAAAAAACTTTCTAGGGCTATTTTCAATGATAAGGGCATTTATGTCTTTTTACCTTAAAGGAGACCTACTTAGGCTTCTCTCACCATCATACCTCCCCCACCTATGTCTTTTATGATAATCAAGGTTCCTACTCATACTGCGGGTCCTACTTTATCTGTCCCTTCCATAATATTTGTCCCTGTTTTTGTTGCGACTTCTCCTCCTGTAGCCCCTGTATTCATCTCTATACCTAGAACTACATCGAGTAAACATCAAAAAATGTCCAACATGGAAGATGGAAGATGGATAATTGAATTGAAATTTACAAACATATAAGTGTTAAACCTGATCAAAAAAATGTAAACATGGAAGATGGAGAATTGAATTCTAATTTACAAACCAGTTTAGCATTTTCAAGTCATCTAGTTGTTGTTCTGTATTCTTTCATGGTTTCTTCTTCGGTCTTTGGAACTACCTTCACCTCTTCAACTTCTTTTGGTTGATATATCTGGTTGAAAATAGCTAAAAAGATTAGCATTGTTGAGATATGTTTATGAAAGAGAAATTCAGAAAGATGGAAACCTTCCTCTGTTCACTAATGAGATAAGCAAACTTTTCAATATTTGGAACTGCAAGCAATTAGGGCATCAGATGGTTGAGGAAATGTCCAATAGCAACTTTCACTGCTTCGTTTGCTTTCCCCATCTTGTCCATGGTCTGAGTTTAACAAAAAAATTCTTCAATTCATATTGAAGAGTAGTAAAGTTTATACAGAATACATATAGGTAGGAGGTTAATTCAGTAAGATGTACCCAACGCACCATGCTAGAAGTTTTGAACCAACTTAATATAATAAAATTAAGGGTAAATTACACCATCCGTCCCTCGTGCATATGCACAAAAGCATGTTTAGTCCCTATTTTGAAAAATTAACTCGGACTGTCCTTATGTTTGTTTTTTCTTGCGCGTTTAGTCCCTCTGAACATAAAAAGACTAATTTGCCCTTGATAATTTCTTTTTTAGTTTTCTTTTGTTTATTTATCTTATTTTAATTAAAAAAAAAAAGAAAAAAAAAATATATCTCCATCAAACACACCACCCCTCTGCCTCCCGTTTCCCCATATCCCTTCTACCCAGTAGTCTTCATCTTTCTTATCTTTTTCTTTGGATCTGTTGGATCTAGATCACCGGAGCCACCATTGATGGAGCAAAAAGGAAGCACCGGGATGTTGGTTCCATACACAAATAGCAACCAGACGTTGTTGTCCTTGTGGCCCTAGTACACTGATTCTGTCGTTGGGTTTATGGGAGGAGATGGTGACTTGAAAGTTGGGGAAGGAGGGAGGGGGGAGGATATGGGTGGATTCATAGGAGGAGTAGATGGTGGCGTCTTGGAGCTGCTGAATCTACATGGTGGGTCGTTTTTATTTTTGGCAGGCGGAAGAGTTGATGGTGGCAGTTTTGGAGCTGTTGAATCTAGGTCGTCAGAGCTACCATCGTCGGAGCAAAATGGAAGAACAAAAGTGCTATTTTCTGCCTCCATCTCAGTTCGAAACCCTTGCTCCACCTCTATTTCTTTAAAATCAGGCAAACCCTCTTTTTCACCCCCTCTTTCTTTGCATCGATATAACAACCACCATCGTGAGTGATACAAGCACCGTCACTGACGTCTTTTCATGTCAACGAATCCCCCGAAGAACATAGTTATGCTTCCATCGTGGCGCCTCCAATCCAGTGGTGCTCTTGGTGGCACCGGGAGATCTTAGAAATGAGATGATGAAGGTGAAGGTTTGAAACCCTAGGTGGTGTCGATGGTGGAGGGTTAGACTACTCATTGTCGGTGTATTGTTCTTGGATCGAGACATGAGTTACTTCTGGTGTTTCCGCTGGTGATGGCAGTATCAGATTCCGATGGTGGTGGTTGCATCAGATTCCGGTGGTTGTGGTTATAGTAGATTCGACGACTCTAATGTGTGTCAGAATTTAGAGGAAAGAGGGTGGGTGGGGTTTTTTTATTTATTTTGTATTTTACAAATAATTGTAAGAAAAATAAAATAAATGAAAAAATAATTAAAAAAGGGTAGAATAGTCATTTCATGTCTCACAAGGGATAAAGCATGCAAATTTAAACTAATGAGGGATGACATGTGCAATATTTAACCAAACGAGGGACGGTTCGAGTTAAAATTTGAAAATAGGGACTAAACATGCTTTTGGACACATGCATAAGGGACGAATGGCGTAATTTACCCTAAAATTAACTAAAATTAATGAATTGAAATTGTGTATATGGTTCTATAAAGTGATCGCTACCCCTTACAATTAAGATATACACAATTAATTGCTGGAAAATGTGAGATTTTGTTACCAAATATTGAGTCGACGCACCCAACGCACAAATGTTGTTCAAGTCGGCATTCCAAAACTTTAATCGATGTTCCCAAACTTCAATCGGCAATCCAAATCATCGTTCCAATGTTCCAGATACACGAATAAAGGTAAGGTCGGTTCAATTTTAAAATCGTTGGATCATCCAAGATGTGTTCCCAAGCGTTCGGTATGAAATCGTATCCCGTATCCAGTACGCGTTCTTACTATGGTTCAATATAACCCTAGAACAACTTAAAGTTTAAATTAAAGCTATAAGTTATAGATTTTCACACTTATGATAACAATTACGGAAATAAAGACGTTTGAGAGGGAGAAAATGGTGGAGAAAAGAGAATATTTGCCACCGTTGACCTCTGTATGGCTGGTGCTGAGCTCCAAAAATACGAAATGCAAAAATATTGAAAGATAGATAGAAGATAGAAAAAAAAGGATGAAAGATAGATAGAAGAGAGATCTAGAAGAGAGATTATCAGAGAGGGGAGAGTGGATTGCAAGGATGAAAGATAGATAGAAGATAGAAAAAACAAGGAGGGTTTTCAAAATTCTGGGGATTCCGTTTCCCCCCTTGTCTACTAAAAGCGCGTTCCATTAAAATTATAAAGCGATATGTACAGACGATGTGCGTTCAAGATAAAGCGCCCTCCGTGTTTTTAATTTTTTTTTCTTGAGACACTACATTAAGGGCACGCAATAATGCGTGACGTAAATCCTTAATTTTTTTTTGGAGAGATGACACTATTTTAAGGGCACGTCTTTTTGCGTATCATTAATCAGCGCGTGTCGTAAAAAGCGCATCATTAAAGGTCTGTTTTCTAGTAGTGGTCTAATCAATATGGACAATCCACTAATACTCATGACAGTCTTGAATCACTACTTACTTCCAAGAGTACGATCGAATGTGGACGTTTGAGTAAATCAATACTCGGGAACTAGGTTCCAAACATGCAAAAGTGAGAACACAGTGATAGGCTAATTGAAATGACAAAAATCCATCATATATTAAGATCACCACTTAATAATCGCCAAATCAAATTAAAACTTATACTACTTAAAGTTCTCGGGTTTTAAAACAAACCAAACTAAGAGTGTTGAAGCCAATTCATTTGCAAATCTAATGTCTCTTGACTATGTCTAACTGTCAGACTTGGTCAATGACATCAACTTATGGAATGGATCGACAAGATTATCTTTTGATATGACATATTGACTATAACGTATTCACATTTGAATCACTATCAAACGTGATGGTACATACTGAGTATATGTCATGTGAGCTTGTGTGACTTGGGATCCATACTTGAGGTAAGGTCACCCTTAAAGTCAAATAGATTTCATAAGGACCATCAATTATTGAATTTCAACAAAAATGTCACTAATGAATCTCTTTCAGCCACATTGTCTTCTTTGCAATTTAACCAACTGCAACGTAATCTAAGTATGTTAAATCCACTTTGGTGTATTATCTGGTACTCTTCCAAGCTAATATATCACCATTCAGTAAAAGCACGAATTTCAACTACAAACGAAATTACCTTTATCAGTATGGAACTTAGCATCAATGTGACTCGTACGCTGATCCCTTCCATATTATCAATATCATTTCTTATGTCCTCCAAGGACACTTAAGAATGTTCTTGATCTTGATTCGTTGATTCTCACCAAATTGTTCTAATCCAACTTGTCATGCACAATGCATATGAGTCACCATATTTGGTACATGTTATGGCATATATGATCGATCCCATAGTAGAATCATGTGGGATACAAATCATTTGCTTTAGCTCAATATTAGAACTAGGACATTAGAATTGCTCAATGTCCCGCCATATTGTAATAAGCCTAAACTCCTTTTCGAGTTTCCTTAACATTCCATGTACTTTGGCTTAATCTAATGAATCACTTTGATCTATCTCCATAGATCCTTATTATGAACGTGTTTTGTATCTCCCGTGTATATCATAAAGAAACAGTTCTCATACCAAGCCAAGCTTTTACACCTGCCAAGTTAGAATACAACTTCTTATAAATCGCACATTATTTATGTACAATACAACGGTGACTACAGTGCTCCCACTAGAACTGACATATATATGGCTTATCTATGTTTCTCGAAATTCAAATTCCTTGAACTTTTCTCATTGAAACAAAGATTCCAATTACTCCCACTAGCTTTGACATATATATGGCTTATCTTTATTTCTCAAAATTCAAACTCCTTGAACTTTTTCATTGAAATAATGATCCCACTTGTGATATGCTTATTTCGGTCCATAAATGAACTTACTAAGCTTACACATCCTTCAAAACCTGTCTTGGTTTAAGTATGTGTTTGTTCCTATCCTTGATTGTCTCTACTTGAAGATCCACTTGCACCTAAGGGTTAAGGTCAAGTGTTAGGTCTACAAAATAACAACATAAATGGATTTAATCTTGCTTTCCAATTCCTCTTTCTATGTTGTTGCCTTTAGGGCCTACCATAGCTTCCGATAGCTGGTACACTCTGATTTCTATCTAGTAGTAACTCAAATACCTTAGCAAAATAAACTCCTATATAACAAGGTCCATGACATCTTCTATCAGATCTATATGGAAAAATGGAAATATGTCAGTTTCCGTAATAGCTCTTTCAATTCCAAATTGAATGCTATGTCCAACTTTAGGCTCTTCGTTGGTAGACTCTTGAATCTTATCAAGATCAATGTGGCTCCCACTAGCCCTTTTGGAAATCAACTCCCTCTCTTGGAAGAATGCACTTCGAGCAACATATACTTTTTTCTTAGAAGGTTGTTAAACAATTATCCAAAATGCTTGATGGGCTCTCCAATGAGATAACACATCTTTAATCAAAGTC